TTTATATTCACTAACGAGTCTTTAATCTCTGGAGGGACAAAGAAGTTTTCATGACACAACAGGAAGTTTCACCTATAAAGTGCTAAGAACCTGCAAATGGCACAGAGGAACAGCTGGGATGGGGGTGGGGAAGGGTCCCTTCCAGCTTGGCCTGGCCTCTGAAAGCATAGCTTTTTGCCTTTGATTGTTGAGGTGAAACCCATTTGTGATACCGTCTTGGAGCCAAGCTTCTCTGGACTCTTACTTTTACTGAGTCTGCTCCATTAAAAGTTTGTTATTTTGGGAAACTCAACCTTGTTGTAGAACTGGCATGTGTTTTTAATTGAGCTGGACCTAGTTTGGGATCCTGGTTCCATCTTTTGCTTGTTGCATGACCTTGAAATTCATTCATTCACTTAAAAACAGTCCTGTAGTGCCTACTTTGGGCCAACTACCGTGATGGGTTTTTTGGAATAAAGTAGTGGGTACCTTTCATTGCTCTGTGTTCTTCATTTTCTAGCTATCAGCAAGTTCAGTTGGTTTTACTTCAAAAATGTATCCCAAATTGGACTGCTTTTCTCCATTACCCATCTTTCCCCCAGGCTGTTATTCTAAGTTGCATGATTGTATTCTTCCCTCTAATCCTCTGCCTCAATTCATTATCTATGCAGCAGCCAGTGTTATCTTTTTTTTAAATATACATCAGATTATTCTCTTGCTTAAAAACCCTCCAGTTATACTCAGATGTACTGAAAATAAAACCCAACATCTCCCGATGGCCCACGAGGTCCTACATGATCTGGTTTCTGCTTCCCCTCTGAGCTCATTTCGTATCCCTTTCCCCCTCATTTAGTGTGTCAGTCACACCAGACTTCTTCCTTTTCCTGAAGATATCAAGCTTATCCCACCCTGGGTTCATTATACCAGTTACGTTGTCTGCCTAGGATAATTTTTCTATATAAGTTTGACTGGCTGGTTCCTTGCTGTCATTCATATTTCAGTTCAAACACTTTCCCTCCTCTATTCCTCAAGTCACATTCTATCAAACTACTGTATGTCTCCCCCCTGCAACTCTTATTTAGCTCTGATCACAATTTGAAATTACCTTGATTTGCCTACTAGACTGAGCTCCACGAGAGCAGGAATCATGCTGTTTCATTCATTACTGTGTGTCTAATGTCTAGAACAGTTCCTGGCACAGAGCAATAAATGTTAGTTGAGTAAAGCCACATAATTCTCTTGAGCCTCGGTTTATCACTTGTCCCATAGAATAATAATTGGCTAATAAAATGAGGTTGTATTTAGAATTAAGTGAGATAATAAATGTATGTGAAGTATTTAGTACAATGCTTGGCACAGTATGCCAAATGATAGTTTAACCATTGTTTCATTGTGATTATTTATATGACAGTGTTCACTTCCACTTTCCCATACTCCTCTAGTACCTGTTTTTGCACCTAATGATCCATCTGGAGCGTCACGGGTGTTTGTCAGTGACAGATGCCGAGTGGTTAGATGCCTGCAATTATTTTCTAACGTAGTTCTCTCTTGGCCATGTTTTTCTGTACAGGTCCTGCAGCTGGGCTCAGACATTCTTCCCCAATACAAGCAAGAGGCACCAAAGACTCCCCCTCACATCATCTTACATTACTGTGTTTTTAAGACCACGTGGGATTGGATCATCTTGATTTTAACCTTCTACACAGCCATCTTGGTCCCTTACAATGTCTCCTTTAAAACCAGGCAGAACAACGTGGCCTGGCTGGTGGTGGATAGCATTGTGGATGTCATCTTTTTGGTGGACATTGTGCTGAATTTTCATACCACTTTTGTTGGACCAGCTGGGGAGGTGATTTCTGACCCCAAACTCATCCGCATGAACTACCTGAAGACGTGGTTTGTGATTGACCTTCTGTCCTGTTTGCCATATGATGTCATCAACGCTTTTGAGAACGTGGATGAGGTTAGTGCCTTTATAGGTGATCCAGGGAAGATCGGTTTTGCTGATCAGATTCCACCACCCCTGGAGGGGAGAGAGAGTCAGGTACATCCCTCAAATCTCAGACCTTGTTGTCATGTCTTTAAAGCTGAACTAAATGTGGGCGGTCAACAGAAGAATAATTAGTGGGTGGGAAGTAGCATGACGGATGTCCGGAACCGAGGGAGCATGCTTGATGGATTTCCTCGCCTGCTGTTCTTGCCTTTGGAGCTTCCAAGGTGCTGCATGTCAGTGAATGGTGTGGAAGAGACCAAAGGCTTCCCTCTGACCCACGTGGACTGCATGCCACTGGCTCAGGGGTGGTGGGGCTGCAGGACGCATTTCCACTGTGTTGCTGAACCTTCCACTTGGTATGCAATTGCTGAATGTCTACCGATTGAGTATTCTAATTATGGGGACTTTTCTATCATCTGCTGCTGACCTTTGACTTTCAGTTTAATTAACTCCTAGCAACAAGGATGCCATTTCTCTCCAAGTTTGCTTGCTTATTTATTTAAATTTTTTTTTGGGGGGGGAGGGGTAAATGTTGGAAAAGAATGAGTTTCTTCACTAAACTGAGTTTTGGAGGTGACCACTGGCGTCGAGTTCTGTATACTTTCCCTTGCCTAAATTGTCTGAGGTGGTCAGGCTGTGGCTGAGAGGAGTAGAGCTGTTACTGGATTACACTGCTTTGGATTATCAGTCCTGCAGGCAACAGAAGGAATTAAAAGAAGATAAATGAAGATAAATGCTCTGTAGATGTGTTGGAATCAGGACATGCTTAAACAGTCAGCAAATAGGTGCCTTGGACGTGTTGCCATAGGAAGGGGCCACTGCGCTGGTAACAGTGATTTTCTCCTTCAAAAAAGCAAGGATGTCAAGTCAGGGCAAGGGAAAATGTCAGATTCTTACCTAGTTTAAGTGTTCTGTGGGAATTGTTCTTTTTTCCCCCTACTCATGGTTGACACTCCAGGTGGAGTAAGGTAAGGCAGTTCATCCTCAGGCAGCAATGGATCCTCTGCCTCGGATAACAGCGGGTCCCAGAGGTCTCAGTCTGGCTGCGTTGTTACCTAGGTGGGTACCCCAGGAAGCTGTCTAGGAGGCTGAGTTGGGCAAAATACACACTCAGGGCTGAGTGGCTAGTGGGATTCAGCCTTGGGATAGTTGGAAGGAACAGGTAGGAGCAGACTTGTGCTCCGTCCTCTGTGAGAATCCAGCTACCTACCACTCCTTCTTGTAAAGAGGACCTGATATTCAGATGCTCTAGACTCAGAGCAACCCCTGCTTTCATCTGCTTGGTGTGTTTCAATATACTTTAAAATCCCAGGGAATAATTCTCTGGGTGGCTCGTGTAGATTTTAATAGGGGGATTAAGTGAGTTGAGACTTATCATTTACAAGAACAAAATCACCCCTAAAGTGAATGTTGGGCTTCTTAAATGTGCATTTTAGTACACGTTGGGAATGTTTTTCTCCATGAACACATTTCTAGAAAACTTTATGTTAGTGAGGAAAATATGATCATTTTGGCTTAGATAATTCAATTGAATTATTTCAACCTAGAAGAGCTTCTTATACACGCTTATGGGAAACGAAACTTAACTTTAAAAACCACTTGGGTTTTTCAATTAAACCCTTTGCTATTTATAGCAGTGGCATCGATGTTTTTCAGATAAATAGGACAGTCCTTTGACTTCCACAGGTGCCCATTAAATTCTGGCAGAGCTATAAACACATATGCAAATGTGTCAAGATTACCTGTAGGTTAGTTGAGCAGGGAGCTTCTTCTCAGGCTCTGTGTATGTTGGGCTGGAACGCCTTTCCATTTACTGTGAATACCCCTGACATGGTTTGTGATTTCCAGATTCATGAAATAGATTGTAGGCAGGAAAAATAGCATTTATCTGCAGCTTTCTCGTTGGCAAAGGGTTTAGCATCAAAGCTCTTACTGCCGTCTCTCAATAGTAAATAATAATATGGATATTGAGGGGCTATAGCTATGATTTGTTTCAGCAAAGACTTGATTTCCTTTTTAGTAATGCCTTTGAAAGCTTTGGCTGGCACCTGAAATGATGCCTTTTCACAACCATAGTGGCGGGGGAGATCAGTGTGAGGAAACTGAAGGTTTGGCTTCTAGTGCTCTTGCTATCACCTATTAGGATGGCGGCTGGGAATCTTGTGCTTGTTGTTTAGCCTTTCCGGATCACAGTTTTTCTGTCTACATCTGGAGGATACTACCTTACCTGGCTGGAGGCATGGCATTTGAGCAGTGGATGATTTGCATTCCCTGCCAACTGCAAAGTCTGGTGAGTTCTAACATCTCATCTGCATTATTCTTACCTCCAGGCTGACTGTAAAAACAAGAGGCCCAAGGTGGGGTGGCATGGGGGCATTTAGCAGGTTATGATAAGTAGACCTACCAGATGTCAGAGCTCAGGAGGACTACAGAGGTCATACAGTTCAATCCTCTTAACTCACAACTAAGGACACAGACTCAGGGGGAATATGCCTCACTCACAATTGCATAGCAAATCGTATGGTCACAGTCATAATGAGTCCCTATTCTTCTCTATTCTTAATAGTGACAGATTTGATAAAAAACAACAACAATGGGGTGGGGGTGGGGGTTGCAAAACACTGAGGGCTACAGGTGAGTCAGACTGACCAAGAAGCCTCTGATGTGTATGGCTCACCCATGGCTTGGGTATTGTGGTGGGGCACGTGGGCACTGGGTATGGGGAATGAAAGCTTCATTTTCCCCCAGGCAACTGTGTTGGTGATGAGATGATGGGTAGTTTAAGATGCCCACCGAGGGGCAGACACAACATGGTTTTCCAGGCACAGGACTTTTTGGTAAAAGGGCCACTAAATTAGTAGGCATGAAGGGCAGGTGGGCTTAGAAGAGGTTGGGGGGGCCGAGAGGGGCACCCAACCTGTTGAACCTGGATTAGGCTGGGGGAAATCCCCTTGGTAGGAGAATTCTGATCAATGGTTCAGCGGGTTCACGTTCAGCATATGCTGTCTTCTTACACTCTTGTTGTGGAGTTGCTAATCTAAAATGGCAGCTCCCTCTGCATCAGGGCCTTTCTCTGGGACAGTATGGGGAGAAAGTAGAAATAATTGACTCACTTCTCGTAAAAAATACATGGAGCTGAATTCTCTCTGGCGTCTTCCTAATAATGCCAATGGAATTATGTTCCAGTGGAGACTGCCAAAGAAGAGGGGAATAAGGGTGGTGGCTTTGCCATCTGTGTGTGTGGGTTTGGGGTGTGGGTATGGGTGTTGGGGTGGGGAGCTCTTGAAGTTCAAGGATTAGACCCATCCAAGGCTTGGGTCAGGAAAGAACCAGGTTCAATTGCTAAAGCCAGCAACTGTGAATTTAGCCCTGTGGATATTGCACATTTCTATGATTTCCGCCACACAAATGATCCCTTTTGGCTCAACTTGTTTCGCTTATGTAGATGGCCTACATTTGCGTCATTCTCCAGCCTGATGGTAATAATCTGGTTTGGAGGCTGTTTGGTAATATGTTTGCACATTAACTAAACTGGTTAGAGGACAAAAGGCCTGGAACCTGGGTGAACTGAAGCCTGGAATGGGTATACCGAAACAGAAGCCAAATAAACCACTTTTGGAGCTTTGTGGATTATTGGCCTGGTGTGCTTCATGGATTAAAGATGAAATGATTACTCACAAACATATTCCCTCTAAGGAAACCATGTTACTAGTAAGGAAACCATAGTGCTTATTGTCATTGAGTGTGGCAGTGCAAAGGGGAGAATGGAGCCAATCACACGCTATTTCCGGGGTCACAATTCTGGCACCCTGGGGCCCGGGGCCAAGAGCTTCCTCCTATCTTTGGCTCTGTAATGGAATTGTGTCCCAGGGGAGACCACTGGGACAGCAGCAGCACCAGCTAGCTAGTGCTGGTGACACAGCTGACACTTGCCAAGAGCCAATTTGTACAGGAAATGCTCACCTTAGAACAGAACAGGACTAGGGTAGGCTGATGAAAAGATAATAGCACTGAGAGCAGCTTCCCTTTATCCAAGACTCCTATATGCTGAGAAGACTTCTGAGCAGATGTGGATTAGGGGGATTATATAATAGAAGGCTCCCTGGGAAATTGGAAAAAAACACCAAAAACGACCTGTTGAGGAAGGTGTTGGAAGAAAGGTGGAACTCTGATGGGTGGGGAAAGGCAAAGGAGCACATGAGTGCAGAAAATCTAGGAACAGGCATTGTGTGTGGGGCTGGGGGAAATTTTCTTTGATTTAATCTTTACTATTCTTTTAGTAGACACCCTGAAAAATACCACGATCTCACTCTCCTTTCTTCTCCCTCCAGTGTCTGTTAGTTCTCCTCACTGACAACCTGGGACCCTGAACAGGAGAGTGGATTTAGAGGGGAATTTGAGCTCAGAGGGGTTCTGAAACCTGTGGCTCAGGTTCACAAATATTTTCTATAAAGGTGCCCATAAAATATATATTTAATAGGCTGTGTAGACAACATTATGTTCTCTCCTCTCTCTTCTCATCTTTTATGACCCTTTAAAAAGTGAAAACCACTCTTAACTCACTGGCCATATCGAAACAGGCAGCTGGTCAAATTTGGCTGACCCCTGTTATAGACTGAGGGGTTTTTCTGAGGGTCAGTTTTTAGAGAATCAGCCACTGCCTGTCTATAACTTTCCTGCTATTTTTTCTTTTCTCTGCTTTGGAATGCCCAGGACATAGATGTTAACCCTTCTCGTTGTATCCCCTATGTCTCTTACACTCACTTTGTATTTTCTAACCTCTCTTTCCATGCATTATTCTGCATTTTTTTCTGATTCATCTCCCAGCTTCCTAATTTACTCATTAGCTTTGCCTAATTACTTTTAAACCCTTGTATTGCATTCTTAATTTTGATTATTGTATTTTTTTCAATGTTAAAATTGTTATTTGCCTTATTTTATAGTTTCTAGTTTTCTGCTGAAATTCTTGACGGTGCCTTTTATCGTGTCAAATACATTAAGGATAATTATTTTAATGTCTCTTTTCAATAACTCCATAATCTGGAGTCTTT